CCTCCCTCTGTGAAGCCCGAAGTCAGCTAAATAGCTAATGGTAACTATTCAAAACGCCTGCCATTTGAAATAGGCCTCAACATCAATCGCGAAACCACTCTAGCCGTTGAATCCCCAAAGCACCTGGCTTTACTACTATAAGAGACTACCAATTTGACAGAAGTGAAACTAACAAACAAGCTAGCCAAAAAAAAGTAGAGGATGAGGCTCTTAAAATTGGCCTATCATTAGACAAACTTAAAGATCTTGGATACCATCGCTGTTAAAACGCTGTGCCTAGTGTTATGGCCGCCATCTAAACTGCAGCCAGTGTGCAACTTCCATTTTCTTTTCTAAAGCAGAGACAACAATCGAAACTCAAGCGCGCGCAGACCCCAATTCTTTGCCAGGAATGGAACCTGCAAATTTCACTCACCCCCTCCCCCCCCCCCCCCCCCCCCCCCCCGGTTGGCTCCAGTAAATGTCACATTGATCACATTCTTAAAAGTTCCTTTGACAGAATGCATTAAATAGTAATAAATAAGAAGACATGAATTAGAAAGTATTATTTGTAAAGATGATGAGCTACACTATACACTAGGAGATATAACCCATTACTCCCATTCTCATTTTTTCGCTTGCTGATCGTCAGTAGAGGTAAGATGTTCAAAGAACTCTGGCAATAGGAATTGAGCCTGGGAGCGTTCCAGGTAGAAGGTGAAAGGATGTCGACCAATAATAAGGTTAATGAACCTCTGTTCCTCTCGACGGCCTGCAGTTACCCGCATACCACTGATGGGGGTGGTAAAGAGCTTCCCTCGAGGTGGAAGCACCCCAAACCATCCATAGGTATTCACTCGGACCACTGGGTCAAGCTTCTCTGGAAGTACGACGGCTGTGTTAGCAGAGGGTTTGGTTGAAAAAGAAATTCGCCTTATCACACGACAAGGAATAAATCCGCCAAGGAAGAAGGTAAACGCACCTGTTAACACGAAGATGACCCAATTAGAACAACGTCATTTTTCACCAATTGAGAATGGGATTTAATGCAACTCACTCATTATAAAACAGATGTAGGGAATAATTTGCCTCGTTTTAATGTCCACGTTTTGAATTTCTGTTCCACTGTCTTCCAGAACACCAAACGTTTCCCTTACCTTAACGGAAAATTCCTTCAAGTCTTCTTTCATATTTTTCTCCACCTTAGCTTCGATGGTCTCAACCGGTTTCTCTACAGGTTCTGGGTTTAATTCTTCTTTGTTGACATCTGAAAGACCAGAGAGGGTTTTTTTATTTCGAAGAATGATTTCCTTGAGAGTTTGGGGAGTCAAAGACTCTAGTTTATTAGCTATGAGTACATTAATGTGGTTGAGGTCTGCTTTCATCATCTCCCACGTCAACTTCTCTTTTCTTCTGCTGAAGAGGTACTGACCAAAGGCAAACCAAGCTGCACCTTGAAGTAAACAGAAGATCCCCAGAGTTCTATAGAATTTTTTTCGATTAGCTGCCACAAAGAGGTCTATTGTTCCAGGCTCTGTATTGGTAGAGACTGGACGGAAGCCGTTCAAAAGATACGAAAGAGGATTACGCCTTCCAAGCACAAGTCGGTGGAACATTTGTAGCTGAGCAAAAAAGCAATATACGACCCATTTACCAACGAATCAGGCATTTGTATGATAATTAAATATATAATAAAAACACGCTTATACGAATGGTAGGTCTTTATGTGTGTGTAGAGAGGGGGGGGGGAATTTACAGAAAGCATAAAAAGGAATGAAAGGGAGAAGCTTATACATCTACATCGGAGTAGCTGATCAGATTCCGACTTGAATTTGGGGGGAGAGAAGAGGAGTCGCTACGAGTGGGAGGTGACCTTGATCTGGATCTTCGTTGAGATCTATTGAAAGATTTGCCTCCTGTGGAAAAGAAAAACCCAACTGAGACAATAATACATACACCAGCTATTCAAAAATAAACAGCATAAAAATTGAATAGGATATTGGAGTTTCAAATAAGATAGCGCAATAAGTGAACACCATTTCAAGAATCTAGCAGTTAACCGACTTCAGTGAGAAGCACAGTGGTATATCAATTGCAGGAAACTACTGGAAAAATAAATATTAAGAAGTGAATGATAACTATTTCAATACAATTTATCTACTATTTCATATAAATTGAATTAAACGAAAAATCGATTTACAATGGCACAGAAAATTAAAACAAATAGGAAAAATTAAGTGTAGCAACATCAACAAGGGGGATTATGATATTTCGTGTCAATTAGTCCACTTTGTGTGCATATTCGCCTGCAATTAACTTTCACTAATAAGGCAATATTCGTAAAATCATTTCCTTTTAAGTTTACACTTCATTCAACTTTGCATTTTACAGAGAAGAGATCATAAGAAAACAAGGAGTGATTGCATAGCCAATTAACCAATTTAAATCACAGTGCATCTAACATGAATCTATTTCAGCTTAAAGTTACACTGAACAATATGAACCATCTTCCTAATGCTTAACCCCCAAATGAGGTAACTACCAATTATGGAAGAGCAATCAACGGGTGCGCATACAAAAGTTAGAGCGTAAGAAGTCGAAATCACATTCCAAATCGACATCACTAAGAAAGAGAGGGGGAGGGGTACAATAGAGTCGATAAAAAACGACCTTTTCACTTCTCTATGAGTTTATGAGGTAGCGAGGACCTGAATGCTACTTGGATTCCATTGCAAATGAACGTCGTAGATATTTAAAAAATGAGACATTAAAATCAGAAATAACGCTAAAACAGCTACCGAAACATTTTAATGGCAAAGTACTCATTTACACAATCAAGTCTGTGAAGAAAAGTCCAAAATTTTGTCATATCATTCTTTGACCTTGAAATTTTAAGTAAAAACTATATTTTACTACGAAAGAGGAGGTATGAATGACTCTTAATAGACATATGGAAAGAAATGAAGAAGTCAAGAAATTAGCGTACCACTTGCACCCCGGGAATGTTGACGATCGGCAGTTTCCTCAAAATTGCTTTCACGAACATGATGCTGACGGCGTGCGTAGTTAACCCTCAAACGGACATTATTGAAACAAGTACGGTCCAACTTAAGAGCCTTCTCCGCCATTTCGTGAGATTTTAGAGTCACGAAACCATAACTGAGGTTGAAAAAACGTTAAATATGACTTAGAGTAAATAGCAAATAGAACACTTCACACCCCTACAACGCACCCTTTTTTGTCATCAATGCGGACGTTCAGAATGGGTCCATATGGTTCAAATATTTCTCTTACATTAGACTCATTAATATCACTGAAGCTAACGTAAAGTGTTGATATTGGTTTGGATCTTCGATCTTCGCCGGATTCGAACTCGGACTGGTTAAAGTTGCGAGAAAATGAGGGCCTAGAACCAGCCGAATCGCGGTGATTTTCACTGAAAGGAATCGATTGCTGACGTTGCACTGGAGATGATTTTGGCGGATTAATGCGATCACCGGCAACAAAATTGTCATAAAGATTTGACTTCTTTGTCTTGTTTGATTCTTGGAACCCTTCAGATTCTGAAACATCCAAATCCTTTACTTTTCGCTTGAACACATGGCGTTCAGCGCCACTATCGAACGATATTGCTCCGGATTTAAGTAACTTCATTGCCTTTTCTTTAGCTTTCTCTGTATTTCTAGGAGCTATGAAGAGTGAATTCAGTATTTTCAGGCTCACCTTTAACAGGGATCTCCGGTTTAGTCATCTTAGCAGCCAATTCTTCCCTAAGGTCATTCAAAAGTTTTTGCTAAAAGATAAATTTAACAATATTAATAGTACTGCTTGTTTAAATTGCTTCAAGCCAGTACGTAGAGCAATCTCTTCTTCGGAAAGCTCCTTGCAGTTAGGTGGCATGACTATGGAAATGAGTCAAACAAACACTTACAAGAATTGAAAATCTCATCATCATTGCTAAAAGTATATAGTAAATAAAATATAAATACCTTTTATCATCGTACTGTTCATCATAGATTCCAGTGTCTCTAGATCTAATCATCTTGAACCTAGAACAAGCATCCAGAGTTTGCGCGCAAATTAAGCATCATTCAAAGTAATGGCTAGTGGAGCATATTTGATTTACATGATAAATAACTAAGCATATTGATAAACAAATTGTATTTTACATTTCAAAATTTATGAACAGTAGATATCCTTATTCATTATTCAAATTCTTCATGATATTTGCATAACTATAATTGCCACAACTTTCAAGGCGCAAGGACTTCAAATTGGTAACTTAGCCATGAATATCTTTAATATACTCAGACAGCACACTAGCATCTTGGCAGTTAGTACAGATGTCACCGTTTTTTGTTTCAACAGCGAGTTGACTCTCGAACGCCAAAATCATGAAAATGGCATGAAGTGGTCCGTTATGAGGCATCCAAGGCGATAGTGTCAAACCGAAAGTAAGAATAACTCTCGACCAAGTATCAGATGAACATATTCTCGAATAACAGTCAACAGATATTGAAAAGACTTTTAACCGAGGACGATTTATTAAAATTAGATGTAGAAGTGAAATATCCAGTTCAAACTGAACTAACAGTGCATCTACTCAACATAACTCTATTCAATTTAAGAAGAATGGCGCATCAAGTTGTCGGATGCAAATATTTCTCTTAAATTCATCGCAAAAGTTTTTAGTTAATTTTAATTTCTCTCTTTTGGAAATCTTTGTTCTACTGCAGTCAATATTATCCTCAAACAGGTCAATATCTTCGATTTTTCGTTTTCTTGATTTACCTGACCATTCATTTGCATGTATCGAAAAGCGATCACTAAAGTTGTCAGACATTTCTAAGTTTTTCACTGGTAAGTCATTTGTTCTATTTTAGAATAGATTCCGCTGATTGTAAAACATTCTCACGTTATGATCCACGTCAACTTATCGATCAAATCATTATCAAAATAAAAAATTGCCATTATTTACTGAACTAAAACAAATTGACCTGTCTCTAAAGATGATCTAAATAGTCTGTACATGTATAAATGGTCCGTATGGTTTCTCTAAAATTTCAGCCGTCTTGTGTCCGAGATGAATTAACTTAGTCTTACCCATTGTATTTCCGCTTATATATATATATATAATCTTAATTATCAAAATGAATCAGAACTCATTAACGCATTCGCAACTAGATAATAGACCATCTGATTGTTATCTGACATGACTAGTTACGAAGTGAAGCGTACTCTCCACTCTATCGTTATATTGCTGATGAGAGGTGTGCGATAGACTTACCTCCACGTGGTGCACCCT